TCTATCATTGATTCTAAATTTCCGCTATCTTTTTCTTTTGCGTAAGTTAAGACAAAGTTTTTCATGCTGCCAATGGTACGTTCAACACATCCGGTTGCGCGATGATCATTCACGGGTGAATATATTATTTCTATTCCTTCGGAATTACAAAATGATTTAACTGCATTCGATGTGAAACTTGATCCTTGGTCCATAAAAATGTTCCTAGGGACACCATGTTGAGATATGTATTGTTTAATGAACTTAAGGACCTTATCGCTTTTATTATTCCCGCAGATCATTGCAGAGGGCCAGCGTGAGAATCGATCAACCGCTACCAAAACATATTTACTCGATTCATTTAAGTATCTAATCGGGCCCCAAAAATCTAGCTGTAGACATTCATTCGGCTCCCGTGGTTCATAGACTTTCCCAACGTCACCTTTAGCGGTTTAAGGCTTTTACCTGCATCCGTGCATTTCTTGCACCCATCCGCAGCTGCAACTAAACTCCTGTGGAGATAGGGGAACCAGGCATCCCTTGCTGCCTCGAACATATTCGAGCGCCCGTGGTGAAAACAATGTAGACGATTCACTACTGCCTTTCTGAGTGGTATGGGGATGACGAGTCGTTCTTCCATCCACAGGCAATTCTCCCGCACGTGGAAATCATGTGTGTGCTGTCCGAGGTAGGCACCCATTGCTCTGACCTTCTTTTCCAATTCCGGGTCCTTACTCTCCACCAGTTCTTTTATCGCACGCATCTGAGGGTCCCCATTATAATTTGCTTCAACTGGCTTGAGGTTGAATAGTTCTGGCAGTGCACTGCTTTTTCGGACGATCTTACAGTCCCGGGAAATCACTGACATGATTACATTTCCTCCCGCTGGGTATGCCGCCGGAAAGAGTTCACCTCCGAATGCCGAAGAAATGGAAATTACCGTGTTGCATCGGATGTCCCTAGTGTGATGTGTCTCCGCCTCCAGTCGTGCGTTTACTATCTCCACCTCGCTGCTACTGCCGCTTGTGATTTCTGGGTGTTTCAACAATAATTTATTTAGTTTCTTCAAATTTAGTGATGTCATTGTAGAGGTATTTGTTTTGATAGATTGATAACTTGTTTTGTTAAAAGGAGGACTACTGTTTACTGTGGAATTGATATCAGACTCACGTAGTTTACATTCAGTAATTGACTTTACTACTTTCGCGCCCTCACGGTCATTACACTCAGCTATTCGTTTTACTGGCTTCTGATTGGTTGGCCGACGGTCACGCGTTTTGACGCCCTCTTCCGATGGAAAGTTAATTATATCGTTTCCAACTTGTTTATCTTTAGCTGAAACAACTGATTTCCTTGATGCTTTAATAATCCCTTTATTGGTATCAATATAACCACGTGAATTGGTAATTGACTGCAATTTAGCAACTGTGAAAGTGTTATCATAGAGACTACCTCTTGTTGCTTCCCCCACCGGATGCCTTGATAGATAATCCGCCAGGCCAATTTTAGCCCCAGGCATATGTTCAATGACAAAATCAAAGGGAATAATTCGATCGATCCAACGAGTCAACCGACTGAACATAGTTTTGTTCTTCTTATTGTTTCCATTTAATAATGATACCAAAGCCTTGTGATCTGTCACTACAGTAAATTGCCGCCCGAAAAGGTAATTTGTAAAACATTCGGAACCCCAAACTACGGCCAACATTTCTAGCTCATTTGTCGAATATTTCTTTTCGGCCGCGTTTAGAAAACGAGACGCAAATGATATAGGTCGCCAACCCTCGGCGCCTAATTGTTTGAGTACAGCCCCCAAACCATTATGGCTTGCGTCGCACACGATACGTATGTCCTTATGCACATCAAAATGCTTAAGTTCGACTATGTTCGCAACTTGCTTCTTACGCGATTCGAACGCTGTTTGGCAGTCAGTTGTCCATAGGAATTCGTTTTTCTTACTAAGCAGCGGACGTAGGGGCGCCGAAGTTTCTATGGATTGACCCCATGAACGACTTCAATTGTAAGAGCGTTTTTGGGGCAGCTAATTTGTCAATCGGATCTGTTTTCCGCACCATTGGTGTAATCCCTGATTTTGTAATCCGGTGGCCTAACCATTCGCAAGTATTTTTTGCAAATTGACATTTTTCTAGTTTCAAAGCCATATTTTCTCTATCTAATTTCGCTAAAATCTTCTCCCTCAGGGCAATATGTTCGATTTTGGTACCTTTTGGAATCAGTAATAAAACATCAATGAAAGCATGCGCACACGGAAATTCAGCCAGAATGGCATCCATGACCCGTTGAAATTCCGCCGGCATGGTTGTCAATCCATAGAATTCTGTCTTGAAGCGATATGTACCGGTGGAGCGGCCTCCCACCAACGAAAAATTACAATGTTTGCTAGTATTTTCATTTAAAGGAAGTTGACCGTATGCGTACGTGAGATCTATCGTTGTAAAAAAAACATCCCCCTGTTTGCGTTCACTGATCGTTTGCCCTACAATGTCCATTAGTTCTTCAATATTGGGCATTTGATATTTATTTTTATGCACTTGCTTGTTCAATTCTCTGGATTCCAGTGCAAGTTTTACCGAACCATCCTTTTTCACTGTGATGACAATAGGTGAAACAAAATATTCATCTGAACATTCTTCCAATTTTTGAATATGACCTTGTTCCAAAAGTTTGTCAATCTCCTTATCGACTTTTTCCTGTAATGTTATGGGCACTCGCCTACCCTTTTGTTGAATTGGAGTAGGATTCTTGAAGAATTCGGCCTGCACATTATAATTACGGATACGCCCTGCCCTGCGAAAAAGATGGTGAAATTGCTTACTGAAATGTTTCTGCCAATCATCCAAGTCATTGTCCGTCGCCACAGTTCCTTCCTTTGAATGTATGCTGTTCACCCCTTCCGTCGTTGGTGCTTGTACCAACATCAGTCCTAGTGCTGGCATTAAATCCCTGCCAATAATAGACGGTCTGCACCCTCCGATGACGTTGATATCCGCCGAGCTAGTCCATCCGTTGGAATGAAGCGTGACTTGCATTTTCCCCAGAAATTTCAACGGATTGTTGCCGTAGTCGCGGAACTGGTCCTCTTTCGGATCCAGCGGTTTCAATTGTACGTTAGCTGTTCCCAGGGTACGTTTTAGTTCCCCAATAGTAAAGATGGATATTGGCGAACCACTATCAATCCAGGCTTGAGTTGCTTTGCCATTGATTTTTAAGGCTAGTTTTGCCCCCGCGATTCTCAATTCTGTTTCTTCCTTCCGCCGGATTGACATAACTACATACTCCGTTGAACTATCCGAATCCCATCCATGTGCCGGTGCCTTTGAATCAGTCACCCATCCAACGTAACTTCCGTAATTGGATGCACTCTCCTCCGGATAATCTTGTGCCGTCTCAGTGCCGTCCTCATTTATCATGCCTACACTACACGACCCCTATTCGCCGATCGACGTCCTCTACAAGTTCGCTCGTAATGCCCAGTTTTCTTGCAAAAGTTGCAGGTTGCGTTTCTTGCTGGACACTTTGGAATATGATCCGGGGTAAAACCACTCTGGTCACAATTGTAGCACTTGCGATCTGCTCCTCCGCGGCCCCTTGTGCCTCCTCTGCCAAATCCACGTCCGCCTCTTTGAAATAGTCGGCGATAACCTCCTCTGATTGCGCTTATTGGCTCCGCTTTAATTTGTAGTGAGCCCGCTGGTGCTGCGGTAAGTCCCCCACCGGATACTTTATATGACTCAGCGTATTTGTCACCGCTCATATGACAAAGCAATCCGATAGACCTCATCTGGTGTCTTAGTTGAACGACATAGTTCCGTTTGAGCCTCCTTATTGGACATATTAACTATAAATACGTCACGCAACACCCGTCGTTCCAATGCTCCCAATGAGCATCTAGCGGCCAGTCCACTCAATACGGAGTGAAATTCCTCCAACGTTTCCCCGTCGCGTTGTTTTCGAGATAGTAGCTGGTACGTCTCGAACGTTTCGTTTCTTTCCTTCCTGAAGACACTCTCAAATTCATCCAAAACCCGTGGATATCGGGTAGTCGCCAGGTCCAAATGGGGTTTTCGGTTATGTAGTTCGTCCTGTCCACGTTCCCCCAAGCACAAGTAGAGATTAGAAATTAATGTCTGCTCCGCTTCCAACCGATTTTTCCCATTCACCTCGTCTGGCAGGTCTGTAATTTGCGCCGCGGTTAGCGTCCGATCAAAATAGAATGCCGTCGGATTGAATGAGTGTTTTGCTATTACACCCCAGGTAAATCGTGTAATCCAATGCTCCCACAGCATTGGTGCTTCCGTGCATTTACTCGGCCAAAATGCCGTAATCCCCAGTGGATTTTTTTCTGATCCCGCGCTTTGTCCTGCTTGCTGCGCCATGTGAAAAATATAGGTTCAATATCGTAAATTCACTGAATTTAGACTGACTTGTTTTAGTCTTAACGGTTAGCAACAATAACTCAAAACACACACAGACTTAACTAAGATTGGCAGGTAGTAATTAATTGTTAGCCGCACCAAACACATGGCTAAGCCAATGGCGCCAACAACGTAATATATAGTTAGATACTAGGAATAATATATATATGACAAACCTTTCCAAAAAGGAGCTCAAAATGGAGGAAATTTAGAAAAAAGTATTACCTACAAACTTGCTAAGTTTCCAATCTGCCCCTGCACTAAGGCATGCTTGTTTCATCTAGAGAACAACAAGAGTAAGGAATCACAAGGGTAATTTTTGCGGTCACTACAGCTATTTAATCATCTTATCGAGGATCAATTTTTGCGCCAATAATTGGAAGATTTAAAAAGAAACCAAAATCTGCGGAAAATAGCAGCGATTAAGAGTAACGAACTTCTTCAATAAAACTTACGGTTTCCGATTAACACGCTGTATATTATGCACTAAAGGGTAAATTTTTGGTCTTATCACTCAACTTTTCAGAAAGCTTTACTTGTACTGGAAAGTTTATATTTTCAACTGTTTCATTTGTTTCTTTTTAGAGAAAGGGTTTCTTCCGAGTTTTCGCCGAGGAGCTTCTGACAAATGAAAGTGTCTTGTTCAATTTTTCAGGTTACAAAAGCAACTTCAAGGCATTTTTGCAAGCTTTTAAAAATAACGTATTGTGAATTTTATTTTGGTTTGCAGAACTGTTGAGGACTTCTATCAAACTGCGCAACATGCTCGTCATCCTAAATGTTAGTGAAATGGGTTTGGCTAATGATTAGCTTTGCAGTCTTGAACTTTCTCAAAAGGCTTTCGAATGATTCCAACTGAGTTTTTATTACGTAGAAATCATTCGCTTCGATTGCTGTTTCATATTAAAAAAAGTAGCGACAAAACTGCTCGTATCAGGGTGACGCCCTATGTCCCGACTGCGATTAAACTTCAATAAAGTAGTGTTCACAAGTTTGTTGCATCTGAAAGATTTGCTGGGATCTCGTTAGCTATTTCCCCCTGTTGGACCTTGTTAACTATTTTCTCATACGAAAGCTTTTTTTTTCAGAACTATTTCTGTATAAAATATGAATTTCAAAAACATCAGTTTTTAATAGGGTTTTCATTTTTGCTCGTCCGAATTTGTACTACTCACCAGTCTCTTTTACCGGTTACGTAGCAGTATTTAGACAACTGCGTATTCAGACACTGTATTAAATAATCAGAATCGAGACAATTCGAGACAGATATGAAATTCAATTCTTCCTTGTCTCGATTCTGAATGGTTAATGCAGTGTCTGAATACGCGGTTGTCTAAATACAGACCGCACTCCTCTCTTTACCAGACCGACTTTTTACCAGACCGACCTTTTACCAGACCACAATGCAATAACTTAATTAAGATAAGTTAAAATGAATGGCAGATTCTAAAAGGCAGCGGTTAGAACAAAAACACTTTGCTGAGAAACGGTACAATCCTTGTCTTTAACCAGACTAAACGTTGTCATTACATCTGTCAATTAAATTTGTTTATCGAGTCTGGTAAAAGGTCCGTGTTAGAACTTTTCTGGTAAAAAGTTGGTCTGGTAAAAGGTCCACCCCTCACTATTTTTTTGATACATACAGTAAAAATTTTAATTGAATCAATTATCTGAAAACTGTTTTAAAACTATTGAAAAAAGGCAGCTTAAGTTAAAATTTTAAAAACTGAAGAAGGGGGAAAATTAACTTTTGCTTTTCCGAGCTCAATTTTGAAACTATGTTCTACAGGTTATCAGTTTTCATACCCGCACTGACAAAAATGGATTAGGATCGGTTTTAGTATGAAAAAAGTACGTTGATTAAATTTAGATCGATTTTAGTATGAAAAAAGTACGTTGATTAATTTTAGATCGATTTTAATTTGAAAAAAGTACGAAGATAAAACAAAAAATATGAAGATTGATTTGGATCGATTTAAATTGATCTTAAATCCCAGCTAAAAATAATTGATCCGAATCGATTTTAAATCAATTTAAATGCAGTTTTTTATAATTGCATTGCCTTTTTTCGTGCTTGAAACTGATTTATGTGGATAATTTTATTGAATTCTATAACATCTGGCACGAGTGTTTACATTTAAAAATCGAGAATAAAAATTCCCAACAATTTTTCAAAATGTATGTTTTTTCGCCTTGTTAGCAAAAAAATCTATTTTAGTGAGTCGGAAAATCCGTCGAAATTGATTTAAATCGATTTTTTAGACACTTAAATCGGTTTAAAATTTTCAAAAAGATCGATTTAAATCAATTTAAAATGGATTCAAGTGAGATTCTGATGGATTTAAGTGAGATTCGGATGGATTTTAGTGAGTCCGAAAATCCATCGAAATCAATTTGAATCGATTTTTTAGACACTTAAATTGATTTAAAATTTTCAAAAAGATCGATTTAAATCGATTTACAATCCATTTAAGTTCGTAAAATGTACATAGTTATTCCATTTGGATCGATTTAAAATCGATTTAAATTAATCTTAAATCCCAGCTAAAAATAATTGATCCGAATCGATTTTAAATCAATTTAAATGCAATTTTCTATAATTTCATTGCCTTTTTTCGTGCTTGAAACTGATTTATGTGGATAATTTTATTGAATTCTAGAACATTTGGCACGAGTGTTTACATTTAAAAATTGAGAAAAAAAATTTCCAACAATTTTTCAAAGGGTATGTTTTTTCGCCTTGTTAGCAAAAAAATCTATTTTAGTGTGTCGGAAAATCCGTTGAAATTGATTTAAATCGATTTTTTAGACACTTAAATCGGTTTAAAATTTTCAAAAAGATCGATTTAAATCAATTTAAAATGGATTTAAGTGAGATTCTGATGGATTTAAGTGAGATTCGGATGGATTTTAGTGAGTCGGAAAATCCATCGAAATCGATTTGAATAGATTTTTTAGACACTTAAAGCGATTTAAAATTTTCAAAAAGATCGATTTAAATCGATTTACAATCCATTTAAGTTCGTAAAATGTACATAGTTATTCGATTTGGATCGATTTAAAATCGATTTAAAATCAATTTAAATAGACCGGAAACCATTTCTGTCAGTGCGGGTAATATTATGGTGGTTTGAAAAATGGCAACAACTACGTTCTATTAAAGCAAGAGTGGCAATCAATCGGGTTCAGATGTTTTCTAAATTTTTTTGAAGTCTTATTTCTTGGGACCCTAAGTGCTTTGCACAGAGGCGAGCAGACTTGGGTCTTTTTACTTAATCCGCCCAAAACTGACCTTATTTTGCTTCAATCTGATTGGCTAGCATTAGCCAATCAAATTTCAACGCCATTTCAAAATGATGTTTTGGTTTACAACTGATTTTTTGATATAAATAAGCCAACTTAGCCGAAACTTTTCATGGTATGAGAAACTGTTTAAATTTAATTCAAATAAGCTGCAGAGATTTACCAAAAACAGAAAAAAAAACAATTAGCTTCAGAAAAAAAGTGCCACCTTCACATCTGCTCAAAACTTGACCTCGTTAGAAATCAGCTAAAGAATGCAGTGATTGCATTTGTATTAACCGATCCAATCGGTGCGATCACAATTTTGTTTTCTGCATTTATACATTTATAAACAATGGCCAAATGAAGAAATTCGGGCCCAAAAAGTAAAAAGGCCCGCAGACTTTTACAGTTTTTGCCACATAAATGGCTATTTCTTGCAATATCAGCGAATCTGAACGAAGTTATTCCAGTTAAGACTGCTCATTTTGACGCTGAAAATCTTTTTTTTGCTCATCTCAGATACTGAAAACTCGGTCAAAAATTTAAATAACCCCTATTAAGCGTCGCAAGCGATAAAATTACTCAGAGTCAACATTTTTGCCAATTAACATTTTATTACTCAAAGTCAACATTTTTGCCAACAATTCATCATCAGCTATAAATCTGTTTAAAAATAAAAACTGCGCTGAACGTGAAGTTATGGATTTTCTCAAATTTGGCAAGGTAGTTGCTTGCTTTGAAACGTTACATGCTTTAGATGAATGCCTTCGATGGACAGTTCTCACGAGAGGGATCAGAGAAACTCACTTCATTCATCAGACTAATCCACAGCTTCACTGCGACATAGGCTATTCATTTGTTTCTGCGTCTAATTAATACTTTCTTTGATTTTCCAATCTTGAATAAAATTAATTCGGCAGCAGTTTCAAAAAACTATTTTATTGTTCCGACTTTCGATACGAAAGTAACGGAATATTTGTGCTCGGGGTGGGCTTTTTTTTCTTCAGACAAATTTCGAATTTTTAACTAGCCATTTTTGACGGATTTTTTTTTATCATTCAAAGAGTATTGTTGACTTGAGCTTAAATTTGAAAAAATATTTCACATGTGATCATTTTTCGTAAAATTATGGGGGTTTAAAGATAGCCATTTTGGCCAATTTTGGACAATTAACGCGCGATATATTTCGCGCTTTTAATGTGTAAGCGGAGATTTAATATGACTTAAGAATCGTTCCAAATTGGTTGAAAAAGCTTATTTGCCATAATTGATGTGTTACAAAGAGCGAAATCTATCCTTTTGTACTTTATATGGCGTGTGGGGTGATAATTGTTTATAAAAAATTTCAAATTTTAGAAAAAAAAATGCATTTTATTTTATTACAAATTGTGTTTTTAGGTTATTACTGCTCCATAAACCTTAAAAGGCAGCCGGAACATTCAGGGCTTCGCCCAGATACGAGCAGTCTTGTTGTTCCGACTTTGGATACGAAAGTAACGGAATATTTCTGCTCGGGGTGGGTTTTATTTTATTCAGACAAATTTCGACTTTTTAACTAGCCATTTTGACAAAGTTTTTAAATATTATTTGAAAGGTATTGTTGTCCTGAGCTCAAATTTGAAAAAATATTTTACCTGTGAGCATTTTTTGTGAAGTTACGCGGGTTTAAAGGTTGCCATTTTGGCCAATTTGGGACAATTAACGCGCGATATATTTTGCGCTATTAACGCGTAAGCGGAGTGTTAATCCCTCTTAGAAAGCGTTCCAAATTGGTTGAAAGAAGCTTATTCGCCATAATTGATTTATTACGAGGAGCGAATTTTATCCTTTTGTTCTTTATATGGCGTGTGGGGTGATGATTTTCATAAAAAACTTCAAATTTAAGAAATTTTTTTTTCATTTTGTTTTATTGTTCCGACTTTCGATACAAAAAAAAACGGGATATTTGTGCTCGGGGTGTGTTTTTTTCTTCAGACAAATTTTGACTTTTTAACAAGCCATTTTTGTCGGAATTTTTTTTTCATTCGAAAGCTTTTGTTGTCCTGAGCTTGAATTTGAAAAGATATTTTACCTGTGATCATTTTTCATAAAGTTATGGGGGTTTAAAGACTGCCATTTTGGCCAATTTGGGACGATTAACGCGCGATAAATTTCGCGCTATTATCGCGTAAGCGTGATTTAATCCCTCTTAGAAATCGTTCCAAATTGGTTCAAGGATCCTTTTATGCCATAATTGATTTGTTAATAGGCGCAAAATCTATCACTTTGTACTTAATATGACGTGTGGGGGGATGTTTTTACATAAACTCTCAAATTTTTTCAAAGTTTTTTTTTATTTTTTCAATTACATTGAAATTTTCCATGTTATTAATGCTCCATAGACCTTAAAAGGCAGTCGGAGCATTCAGGGCTTCGCCCTGATACGAGCAGTCTTGTTTCATTTAAGATTTTTAAATGTTATTACTGCTCGATATACCTTAAAAGGCAGTCGGAACATTCAGGGCTTTGCCCTGATACAAAAAGTCTTGTTCTTTTTCGGATTCATTAATTTCCATGAGCAAATGTTTTAAGCATTAAAAATTTGGAGCCTTCGCAAGTTTTTACGAAACACAAAAAAATGGAAAACAAACAGAACAAGACTGCTCGTATCAGGGCGAAGCCCTGGATGTTCCGGCTGCCTTTTGAGGTTTCATGAGCAGTAAAAACACAAAAATTTTAATATAATAAAATAAAATGAAAATTTTTTGTCTTAAATTTGAAAATTTTTATGAAAATTATCCCCCCACACGCCATATAAAGTACAAAAAGATAGATTTCGCTCCTATTATTATATCAATTATAGCATACAAGCTTTCTTGAACCAATTTGGAACGATTTTTAAGGCGGATTAAATCTCCGCTTACGCGTTAATAGCGCGAAATATATCGAGCGCTAATTGTTCCACTACGCGTAAGCGGAATGTTAATCCCTCTTAGAAATCGTTCCAAATTGGTTGAAAGAAGCTTATTTGCCATAATTGATTTGTTACAAGGATCGAAATCTATCCTTTTGTACTTTATATGGTGTGTGGGGGTATGATTTCCATAAAAAAAACTTCAAATTTCAGAGAAAAAAATTTCAAATTTCCATTTTTTTTACATTCAATTTTTTTATGTTATTAATGCTCAATAGACCTTAAAAGGCAGTCGGAACATTCAGGGCTTCGCCCTGATACGAGCAGTTTTGTTAGTCTTGTACGCTTTCTTTTAACCAGCGCATAATTTTCATGAACAAAAATCAAGTGTTTGAAATTAGTGGCTGATAGTTGTGATTGTAGTTAAACGTAGTTAAATATTAGAACTTTGGCTAACGCATTAGAATAACAGCTGACGGAGCTGACGCAATACAGTAGCTGGCTCATTACTGCATTACTCACGAAACGATTCAACTTTGAACTCCTCGCTGGCGCACACCTCTAGTTCTTGTTCCGACTTTCGATACGAAAGTAACGGAATATTTGTGCTCGGGGTGGGTTTTTTTTTCTTCAGACAAATTTCGACTTTTTAACGAGCCATTTTTGACGGATCTTTTTAAATACCATTCGAAAGGTATTTTTGTCCTGAGCTCTGGTTTGAAACGATATTTTACTTGTGATCATTTTTTTGTAAAGTTGTGGGGGTTTAAAGATTGCTATTTTGGCCAATTTGGGACAATTAGCGCGCGATATATTTCGCGCTATTAACGCGTAAGCGGAGAGTTTATCTGTCTTAGAAATCGTTCCAAATTGGTTGAAAGAAGCTTATTTGCCATAATCGATTTGTTACAAGGAGCGAAATCTATCCTTTTGTATTTTATATGGCGTGTGGGGGGGATGATTTTCATTAAAAAGTTTCAAATTAAAAAAAAAAAATTCATTTTGTTTTTATTACATTTAATTTTTCAATGTTATTACTGCTCCACCTTAAAAGGCAGTCGGAACATTCAGGGCTTCGCCCTGATACGAGCAGTCTTGTTTGGACTTAAAATTTTCAAAAACATAATTCGCACTTTAAAAACTTTCACAAGAAATGCGGGACCAACTTTCATACTTGCTTTTTCTTCGGAGCCAACTATCAAACTTGTACATGTCCTCCACAAGGCGCATGTATTAAATTTGAAAATTAATTACGCATAAAAAATTCATTTCAAACAAGCGAGCTAAATATACTGCTGGATTTTTTTTTATTGAATAGATATTTTACCTTTTTATATTAAAACCGGAAGATAATTATCAGAATTTATAAGATATCAAAAGGTTGTCGAAAACATTTGAAACTTTAGACTAAATTGATTTTCTAATAACATGCTAATAACCACACTTGCAATTCGATTCGTTACGCACCATATTAAAACTCTGACTGGTTGATAGCCAGTACTATAAAAAAAAAATTTTTCATTAGAATAGGGAGCATGTTTCAAATTACTTTAGAATGATAATAATAACTTTATTTTGAATTTTTTTACAAACTCACAACAGGCATCGATTTAGCGGCACAAAAATTGCGCCTGAAGACCCGAGCTGTTTAGCATCGATTCAATCTGATTTCAGACAATTAAGCAGTTTCTGATTAACGAGAGTTTTAAGGCAATAAGTGTGATGATGATTTCTCAAAACCTACAAACATTAAGCTCACATAATTGCATTGTTGTTTACTGAGTCAACATTTTAGACAGTTAAAGAAAAGATACGCTGCTGGTGTTTAAGAAATCGAGACATTCATTTTGACTTTTTAATAAAAGTGATAGTGTATCTCTCGTTGAGAAGTTCCTACAAAATAAAATCGGGTCAATGCATACTATTTTGTTTCTGAAGATATTTGACCTTAACCTTTCATTATTTTTTTGGACAAAAATGCAAGTAATGAGAATCAGCTTTCATTTGATCCACTCAGTTTTTTTATCTAAGTCAGTTTCTGATTAATTTTATAAACTTACGGTGACGGAGAAATTCAATTTTGAAGTTCAAACTTTGACAAAACACGGTTCTGTTAGACATACACCTGTCAATCAAGGTCGGCCAAGACCGTTTTATGAACTAATTTGAATAGCTTAAGAAAAGAAAAAATGTATTTTGTGCGTTTGAACACGGGTACAAAGCGTTGTTTTCATATTCTGGCGTGTTTGGCTCGTTTTTGTTTCATTCCTCAGATGGACTGGGAATGTGGGATTGCACCTGTCTCTAATATTAGATTGCTTATAATAACTTTACTTTGTTCCTAGTCTAGCTTTCTATTTGTTCAGCAGGATCATCAACCCATGAAGAGGTGATACTAGGATCAAGTTTATCGAGGGGCATGACTAATTGACCTGATAAGGTCCTAATGGTTGGGGAGCGCACAACGCCATCCATGCAGTCGTGCAACGAAGTTGCTCGACCAAAGTTGAAGCCCACAAATGCTGCTGGGATTGACGATCCAAACGAGATTTTCAGCTCACATTGACGATCCACGAATCGATTCTTCAGCTCACTCAGAGGGCTTGCTTATTTTAGGGACATACTGCTTCAAACAATGCTGCAAATTGCATTTTCGTAAGCTTGTGCTCTCACATAGCGCTAATGGTGGTCGAAGCTTTCATCAAGTGTTAGCGACAGAATTCTACCCGAGTGCTCGCCTGAGAGAAGACGATTAGTCAATCACGCTTCCAATTTGCTTCCACCAGAAAAACAGGAAATTGTGGACCGGAGATTAACAGTTGCTCCACTGACAAAAACGTGGTAGACAATGCCTTATCCGTTAAGTTGCGAGTACCGATGAATAAGCAGAAAACACGTTTGCAAAAAGCACTAGCCTTTACCAAGACCCGCTATGATGCGTTGCGCCGGCAGGATTTTATTTCTTTTTTAACCCGT